ATAGTAATTTTAATTTTTTTTCAAGGATATTCTTATTGAAGGTCTTCTTATCCCAATCCAAGTAATAACAACTTTAATTCTTTGTCAAAAATTATTACTCTTCAATAAAAATTAATCTGTCAAATAAAAGATTAAAACTCAAATGCTACAATCTTAACTAATCAAGTTAAATTCTACAAATTAAAAAGTAAAACACAAATGATACTGTCTCTTGTTATTTATTTAACTCTAATGATATGTATCATTTATACAAAAGATTTGATATCAACAGAATTGGCGTCAAGTTAAATTCCTTAAAATTTTATGTATTATTCGTAAAAAAGATTTGATATCAACAATTGGCGCCAAGTTAAATTCCATGTAATTCGGATATCAAATTAAATAAATTATATTAATTTTAATGATATGTATCATTCCTATAAAAAATTTAATATAAAGAACTGACGTCAAGTTAAATCCCATTTCTTTATGCCATGCCAAATTAAATAAATAATGAATATTAATCTAACGATATGTATCATTTGTACAAAAGATTTGATATCAAACAACTGTGTCGCCAAGTTAAATTCTACTCTTAAAATAAAAAGTAAAACCTGAATGATACTATCTTTATCGTTTATTAATCCAAAATGGTACTATCTTTAATTTTTATATAATGAAATCTAAGTATACATATTATATATATCTTATTGAAAGATCTTCCTATTCCAATCCAAATGGTTTAAATTCTTCTTAAATGAAATTATTATATAAGTATATAAAATGAAGTTCGAAAGAATTTATCAATAAAAAATATAAAAAAGCCCATCAGAGCCTCATCAACTGTTCGGATGCACAGAAAACTCTTTATTCTCGTGTGAATGTAACAAAACGAATTAAATAGACGTTTCGGTACTTTCAATTCTTCAATTTTTTAGTTCTTATATCAATATAAAATATAAAACTAAATTACGTGAGTAATACAAATTTCAAGGTGGTGAATCCGGACAAATTAGCTCGTTCTTCTTTATCCAAATGCCAAAGTCCTTTGGCACTACTAGATCTCGACATAATAACATAGCAGTAAAACATAAACGTAATATTTAGAAAAATAAGAAAAATAAAAATAATACTTAGAAAATGTAATATTTAGAAAACATAATTAACATAAATAAGAAACATATTAATAAGAAAAATTAGAATTATTAAAAAAAACTGTGAATATTTAGCAAAATAAGAAAAATAAGAAGTATTCCCAATAACAGTTAAAGTATCTAGCGTGTGCAATTGAGTTATAGAATCGTGTAAATTATTATTATTCAGTATAAAGTTTAGATTAAATTTATTATTACTTTAATTATTACTTTTAAATTATAATTACTTTTTATTATTTATTTTTATTAATTATCATTTTAATTTTTAATTGTATTTACAGTTTTTCTTATTCGATCTAGCAGCGCCAAGTGCTTTTACATGACAAATTTTTCTATTTAAATTAAATTTTTTCATTTTATATGGTTAATTCTTTAATTTTTTATGGTAACACTTAAATTAAACAAAGTAACGCAATTTTGTAATAATGTTTTGTATAATGTTTTGAAGGAGAATTAAATTTTGATTTATGCTCCATAACAGCCTCTTTTTAAAAATAAATGGAATTATTGCACATAAATTTATGCAGATGAATTTTAAAAATGTCAATACATATAAAGAATGAAAATGATATTATTTCAGGAAGAATATAATCAAGGTATTGGTTGTAAGAATCTGACTTCAAAGTTGTAAGAAGAATTGAATGAAGTAGTTCAAGTGTCACAAGAATTAATAAAACTCTTCATATACATCGAAGAAATGTTTAAAGTGTTTTGAATATGATCAATGTATTACGAAAACGAAAACTGTTTGCAAAGACTGTCAAATCAATCGTAAACCTTCCTTAATCTTTCGAGACTTATTTTGAGAAATGTGAGAAAGAAATTCGTGAGTGTTTGAGAGAAGTTTGAGTTTTGGGAAAGTGTACATTTTTAAAAGTACAATTAATTAATATTGAATTAATTACATAATTTTTATAATAAAATAATCTCACAATCTTACAAACGAAAATATCGTTTCACAATTTTATTAAATATTGCTTTTTTTGTATACTCTGTAGATTAATATTTCGAAAAAGAAAGAGAAACTATAGTTCCTTAAATTATAATTCCTGAAATTTTAATTTAAGCAATTTATCATATATGATAAAGAATAAACTAGGAAATCAACAAAAGAATAAATATTTCGGAAAGTACTTAAATCAAAATTTTATATATATATACAACAAATAAATTATACGAAGCTATTAACAAAAGGGAATGCCAATTAAATCAGCTTCGCTTAAACTGTCCAATACATAATCTTATCTCTTAAAATTTTATAT